TGAAGCCCGCTGGGCTGTGCTCCATCCCGTAGGCTGGCTGCCGGACCGTTTTGTCGCAGACTTACCGAGAGAGGTGCCTTTCCTTCACTCTTCATGCCAAGGGAAGGAGTCGGGTTGTTTGGAAAAGGGGTTAAATTTCTCAGGGAGGGGCTCTTGAGGCGTCCCAGGGCTCTCATGATCCTGCTGGGCAAACACGCTGGCACGGGGGAGTCTGGAACGTGCCCTGTCCCATGGGACGCGGTGCTGGACAGGCCGGCACTCCGAAGTCGCTGCTGTGGTGGAAACCGGGATGCGAAGCACCTTGTTGTGTCTTAATCCAGATGAACGGAGAGTGCTTCCTGCTCCCCTTGCCAGGAAGAGGGGCCGGCGAGGGCCCAGCTGCTCTGAGGGGACACGGGTGGCAGGTAGCGGGCTTCACCGGAGCACAGCACATACAAGAGGAACAATCACAGAAGGGAAACAATTATGCAGTAATTTTTTTTTTTATCGTGTAGCAGGACATGTTCGTACAGTTTGCCTGACATGCGCCAGGCAGGATTGGACCACTGCTGTCCTTGCTAGCAAGGGGCCTGAGCAGGATTAAATAGCTCCTGCCTGCCTTGTTTGGGATCCCTGCGGAACGGCAGCCTGCCCCAGTCGAGAGCAGGGGAGCGCTGTTTCTGTCGGGCACCACCCTGCTGTGAAGAGATCTCTGGCAGAGATAACGGTACTAGTCTGTAACTTAACACACGAACTGACCGGAGGAGCAGCCTGCCGGGGGCTGCTGCTGGGGACAACTTAAGCTTCTTTTTCTTAAGTGCAATAAATCTATCAGGGAGCTATGAGGGCACTTCACTGCATGGGAACCCAGGCCGAAGAGGCAGAACCGCAAGCTCTTCATGCACTGAAACCGAATCACATTGGGAGCTTGCTGCATTGACACTACGTACAGAGGATGGTGATTTGTTTGCTAACGTTCGTCATGATTCCTTTCTGTTGTGTATTTTGTTCACACTTTTCTATTAAATGAGCGCTGCATTCATCACAGACTCCTCCATCTGTTTGGTACCTGCCTCTCATTTGCTGCCTCCATGGCGGAGAAGATGGCGTGAGCTGTTGCAAGAGCTGAAGCAACGCCCTTTCGTGGCACCTGTGCAGGTCTCTGGCCGTTGTGGGGAGGCAGAGGTGTCGAGGAGCACTGCGGAGCGTGGCGGGGTGCCTGCGGGCTTGAGTACAATGGCACAATCTCTGTCTGAGCCCCCCTTCCACAAGAGCCCTATTCAGAACCTTCCTGGGCTTCTGCTCGTTTTGACACACACAACCCTGCAAAGCAAACTGGCCAAGCGATGCCAAGCATCAGAGTACCTGATGACGGGACCCCTGCTACTCTGTCACTTGGACACTTCTGAAGCGTCCCACCTGGTGCCTGGCAGCAGGACAGTGCTCCTAGAGCGCCCCGGGGCTTTGGAAACCCTTCTCATTGCTTCCAAGAAGCAAGTCCATACCAAGGGATTACTTGCACGAGGGAGGTGCGGGAATGTCGCAGGTCCCACGGATCTTCCCGACTGGGGGTGCTGACAAGGACCAGCTGTTCGACCACAGTCTCTAGGCTCTTGGTGACAGGCTAGGGCCTAAACATCTTGGAACACATTTCTGCCCCTCTCCCCTCCTTATGCTGCTCCTGACCTGGCTTCTCCCCCAGCAGGCACAGGGCCCGGCAGTGCTGGCAGCCTCCAGCTTGCTCCAGAAGGGCTGTGGCAAACCCTTCCAGCAGAAACCTCTTCGACCGCATGCTGTGCGCGCTGCCCTCACAGGTGGAGCTGGGCTTCCCAGTGCCTGTGCTGCTGTCCTAAGAAGAGGAGCGCCAGAGAGGCTGAAAGGCGAGGTCCCCAGGTGCAGGGCGGCTTGGCGGTGCCCTGCTGCTGTCAGACGTCCACCCCAGAGGCAAGTTGAACCTGCCAGTGAGGAGGCCGCAGCCCTCGACTGAACACTACTACGGCTGTACAGCGAAGACACAGCCGTGATACCGGACTAGTTCACACCCACTCTCCTCAGGATTTCTGAAACCAGCCCAAGCACCTGACGGCATGGAGCCAGCAGCTGGGGGTTCTCACTTCCTGCATGTGGAAAACCAGGTGCGTCCATTGAGTTGAAAATGTCGTCCAGCATCCGACCCAGTTAATGACGTTGGACAGCTGGATGCAGACGCTCTTGCCCACAGGACATGCGATGCAGGTCACAAGTGAGAAGCAGTCACCTAGCAAGGCTTGGGCTGTCCTGGAATGAAGCCGTGCCGTCAGCCATTGCCCTTCAGGGGCAATAGGAGTTCATCTGTACTTCTACATAACACCAGCCCCTTTGTCTGTTCTCGTAGGAGACCTTTTGGAGCCGAGTCCGAACATCCCTCGTGTTGCTTTGTCATCCGTGTTCTTGTCTAGGGAACATCCTGGAGGCAGTTCTCTGCTTCCTGGCAGCTGCCAGCCTTGACCCTGCGTGGTCGCATCCTTCTGTGGTGACTAGACAGGAATCGCCCCACAGCCAGGGGCAGGGAAGCTTAAGCGTCTGCGCTGAGATGGAACGATGGTCTAAACGCTCTCCCGGGTTCATTGCCACGTGGAAGGTGACTGCTGTAGAAGAGGGCCTGGCTGTCCGTGCTTGATGTGCGGGGGCAGTGCTGTAGCAACAGCCTGCACGTTCCTTGGTGTCACCTCAAGAGCGTCTTGGAGGGCACGGACAAGGCAGGTCTTCCATGTCATCTCAGGGCCGCCCTGAAATCACAGCGGCATCTTAGCTCCTGCGGGGTCTCTGAAACAGCAGCGCTGGCCCTGGGACAGCTGCTGGGCCTGTTGCTGGCCCTTGCCTGGCACCACCTCTTCAGTCCCTGGGCTAGTGCTTGAACCCAAGCAGGGCTTTGGGAAACCCATGCCTCTTCCTGCAGGGAGCCGCTCTAGGAGGCTTCCATCCAGGCACCAGTCCCCCCACCTGGCACTTGCCATCCTGGTCAAATCATGGCCCTTGTCCGCAGTGAGGGTTGGTAGCATGCCTGGTCTCTGAAGATCAGCCCCATTTATTGGGGTGCTCCTCTTCCAAACTCCAGCTGTGAGACCACTGCATGTGGGGTCCAGTCACCATAGGGCCTGAGGGCTTTCTGCAGGGATCCCAGGAGTACCGGCCACCTCCAGCTTGGGACTGCCACGCTCCATCCGTCTTTGTGGGGTCTCAGGGAAGGCACGTTGCAATGAATCTGTGAGAACCCAGGTGAAAACTAACCCAGGGCAGCACAGACCTCCAGGGGCTTGCTAGGGCCTGTGTCTTGTGTCCACCCCCCACTCTTCATTAAGGAAGAATAGGGGAATACAGTCTTCCTGCGTGCCACCACAGTGCACCGTACCATGGACCGGCACCTTTCCATAACCTGTGCTCTAGCGTGGAGTGCACCAGGGATCGCAGGGTGGAGGGTGGCAGGTCAGTAACTGGCACGGCAGAGGGGAGCCGGGACCAGGAGCCAGTAGGGAATAACCCTCCTCCTGCCCCGCTGCCAAGCTGGGAGCAGTCGCGTTACCCTGCCTACGCTGGGGCAAAGCCTGGTTGCCCGGATGTGCTCCCAGCACCTCGCTGGTAGTGGTGTAGGTACCAGCAGACCGTGTGTGTCCATTATAACCTGCCTTGAACAGACTGTCGACATCTGTCTCCTGGCACTTGGGGATTATGAGTTGATATATCCCGTTTCTGTTGATTGGGAAGGCGTGTCCGGGCCAGTACTTGCTCTGTTATCAAACCCAAGAGGATTTGGACGTGTGTTTTACGCATTCATGGACTTATTGTAATACTCTTGGTTTGAAATAAAGGATTTCCTAATTTAGTCTGGGCTACCCCTGGCCACTGCCTCTTCCCCATCCACGGAGGGTCCCTGTGGGTTGCCTGATGCAGGCTTCTTGCCTCCCTTCCCCAAGGCTGTGCATGGGTGGCAGTTTGTGGGTGCCCCTGCCCACGTGTGCAGAGGATGAGAGCAGGGGTGATGCCCCGTTAGGCTGAGGATGTGAATGAGGACATGGGCTGGTGGTGCTGCCCCAGCTCAGCCAGCTTGTGCCCTGGGGAGGACTTCCCAGAGGAGCCTCTGTCCTCATCCCTTGTGCGGGTGGGAGGCAGGTGCCGTTCCCAGGCCACAGGAGCCGGCTGTTGGCAGAGCCAGATCCTGGCTTCGTCACCTCCACAGCTGGGACCCCTCGACTTGCCCTGCCGGCGCAGGAGGGGCCTCTGGCATGATGTGCTCCAGGCCCTGCTCTTGCTCCCCGTGAGCCCTGGGTCCTGTGAACAGCAGTGTGGGGGGGACGCCTGGGCTCTGGCAGGGGCAGGCAAAGGGGATGTTCCCCGAGGGTCGACGTCTGGCTGTACTCTCAGCTAGAACCGGCCCCGGCGCAGGGGCCTGGTCCAGATCCACGGAGCTCCCTCTGCCGCAGGCCCCGGGGGAGCTTGGTGCACGCGCGGAACTGAGTGGCTGCGCCCAGGGGAGCTGTGGCAGGCCAGGTTGGGCCCAGGCCTCCCTCGGGAGTCGGGGAGCTCTGTGCAGAAGCCACCTCCTTCCAGCCACTGTTTGGAAACACTTCCTTGCCTCGTTCCAGTGCTGGGGCCTGGGCTCCAGCTCTGCTCTGCCCTTCATGGGGCAGGGGCTGGGGGGAAGGGGACAGGACTGTCTGGCCTGATGCCCCAGGTGCCTCGTACCGGGAAGCATTCCCTGCTCCAAGGGCTTTATACACTTCCCTCGGAGCAAGCCCACAATCCCAGACCTCCGACCACACTAACACCTGTGCCCCCCCGGGGCAGCGGGGGTCTGGATGCTGTCCTAGGAGCCTGGCGAGGGAGGTCCCTACACCTGGAGGCAGAGGGCAGAGCTGAACCTGGGTCTCGCCCATCCTCTGGCTGCGTCTAGGGCTGGAGCCAGCCCATGTGCTCCGGGGCAGGCTTCTGGGCCCTGCAAAGGGACGGTGGTGATGGAGCCTCGCTTGGCCCCTCTGGCGCCAGACCGGGAAGCTGTGCAGCTGGGCCAACACAGCCTAGCACGGGGTCCCCACGGTCTGGTTTGGCGGGGTGCTACCAGCACTGCTCCTAGGAAGCCCCCAGCAGCTGCAGGGCACAGTCCCAAGGGGAGCACCCACAGCCCGGAGGGGCCCAGTCTCCAGCCATCACCATGTGAGTACAGCTGCACGGGGCTGGGGGCTCCGGAGCTGAGACCAAGAGGAGCTGGGGGCGGCTGCCGCTGCCTCCTGGAACCCGGGGGCCGCAGAGGCGGGTGCGAAGCTGGAAAGGAGGGGCTGGGGGGCAGCCCAGCCTGGGGAGAGGCCCGTGGCGCTGCAGGAGCTGCCAGTCTGCCCTGCCCAGCAGCCATGGTGTCCCCCTGCCGCAGGGAGGCTCCATGGTGCTCAGCCAGCCTCTGCCCACGTGGGGTTTGCTCTTCCTCAAGGAGGGCAATGAGGCCCTCCCTGCCCAGACACCGACAAGGCAGCACCCTATGTCTGAGCCCGTGACCCCCCACCCCATGCTGCAGAGCTGACAAGGGGTGGGGAGACCTCCTGAATCACTGACGACCAAGCGAGATGTTAACTCATTTATTGTTCATCAGGGATGGAGGCCCCAGCCTTGCCCTTCCTCCCAGGCACCCATCAGCTGGATGTGCTGCCCCTCCCCAGAGAAGGGCAGGCAGGAGGCACCTCTTCCTGCTCTAGCAGGGCATTTTCCCAGCTCCCTCTGCAAAGCCTCGGCGGGGTGCTGCTACAGCGGTTTGGGAGCTCCTCAACACGTGGTCCCCTCGGCCGGCTCTGTCCTAGCCCACAGCAGACCTGGTCCCACGCTCATCGCTGCACTGCTCCCCCAGGGTCGGCTCAGGGCTGTGCCCGCTGCCTGGCCCTGCCCTGATGCCCCCTGCAGCGAGGGCCGCGCTGCCCTGGAGGGACTGTGCTCAGTTTCCTTGGCGGCCGTCTCTCCAGGGCCAGCACCCAGCTTAGCTTTGCTCTGCCAGTGGCCGAGCTGGCGCCCGTCCGTTGTCTGTGGGCGCAGAGGACGCCACGCTCGCTGCACTCAGACCCTTCCTGATGGCTGCGTGCACCGCGCCACCCAGCGACCACTGGAAGCCTCAAGCTGCAGCCCCTCGCGTGGGAGCTGCTCGGTCCTTGGCAGGCAGGTCTGCTCCAAGGCGCGGGGCTCTGAAGCTGCGGCGCTGCACTGCTCCATCGGCGTTGTTGTAGGCGCCCCGTGGCAGCGACGCTGGTGCTGGCGGAGATGCAGGTACAGACGCCCGGGGGGGAAGAGGCCCTGTGAGAACGCAGGAACCCAGCCCCAGCGACCGGGGCCCACGGCGAGCACCCCGCCCTGCAGGCCCCAGTCCGAGCAGCACGGCCTACGCGGGGTGCCGGCTGCAGGCTGCCCTTCTGCGGGAAGCGCTTCCACCAGAAGGTATTTAGGATCTCGCTGGTGCTGGCAGGCAGCGGTAGGAGCTCGGCACCCGCAGCCCTTCACAACCCCGGCCCTCGGTTCCTGAGTCCTCTTCCCACGCGGAGCAGGCGGTGAAGCCCCAGCGCAAGCCGGCTCTCCCGGCAGAAGTGGGGTCCTTCCTCCTGCCGCGCTCTCCCGGCGGCGGCGGCCGCGCTCAGAAGAAGAGGCTGGCGCAGGCCACCTTGTTGCAGCAGGGGCAGGTGTAGAGCTTGT